AACTGGAGTTATGGATGGTTGTTAGCTGCCATGTGGGTGCTGGGAACCGAACCCAGGCCCTCTGCAAGAACAGCCAGGGCTCTTACCTGCTGAGCCATCTCTCCAGCCCTAGAAACATCTTAACTGTATTCCCCCCAACTCTGTAGAAGGCTTAGTATGTATTTATAAGCAATAGAAATCTTTTAAATTATCTTATGTGGATGATGATTTTTTTCTAGCTATTTCATTAACCAGCATTCCCTGCTTAAATTCTAATATTAAATTGGGGATGACTATAACCAAGATAAATCCAAGGCCTAGTTAGTTCAACATACTTTCCCTGTAAATTAATTTGTCTTGTGAAGCTTTAAAACAGATGTCACAACTTGGCTGACTAAATTTGGTATTGGTTATAGGGTCTAGTCCTTTCTAAGTTTATAGGGAGAGAGGAGAGAGACATAAAGAGACACACAGAGACAGAAACAGGGAGAGAGAAAGGAGTTACACTTACAGTTTTTAGTAAATAGCTGAGCATCTGGCAATCTAAGCTTATACTGGGAAATACCAATTAGGCCTACCTACCTTACCCATGAAAATAATCTAGTGTGATTCATGCTTGCAATACATCGTACATTCAGTAAAATATCCTGCTCATCGCAGAGACAATTTTTTTCAGTCTTCTGATTTTTATAATTTACTGTTTTTTTTAAATTGTGTGTGTGGGGGTACATGTTGCTTTCATGTGTATATGGAGGACACAGGTTTCAGCCCTCACCTTCCAGCTTGTTTGAGACAGGGTTTCTTGTTTCCTGCTCTACATTCCAGGCTAGCTGGCTCAGGAAGCTCTGATGACGCTCCTGTTCCCATCTCGCATTTCAGCATAGCAATGCTGGGCTTACAGACACATGTGCTCATGTGTCTAGTGTCCAGCTTTTATGTTTGGATCTGGGGATCCAAACACAGGGCTTCAGGCTTGTGTAGCAAGTGTTTTACTCACTGAGCGATCTCCCTAGTCCCCCCCTCTTTTAAATTTTATCTTTAAAATTTTGAGGATTGAAAAAAAAACACTATCATATGAAGAAAAAATCTTTAAAACTGGTACCCTGGCCAAAGGAAAATTATATGAATGAATTGTTTTCAATTTGAGTAGTCTCATAAAATATAAGTGGGCAGAAAAACATTTTTTAAAAATGTAAAAATTATTAATATTGTGTGAGAGTGTAGGCCTACACATGCCATGGAATGTGTGTGAAAGTCTGAGGTCAACTTTCAGTAGTCCGTTCTATGCTTCCACTGTGGGTTCTGGAGCTTAGACTCAGCTTGTCAGGCTTTCCTGGCAAACACTTTTACCTGCTGAGCCATCTCCCTGCCTCAGAAACTCTCAGTTGAAGTTGATGAGCATAATGAAGACATCCGTCTAGGTCTGACCCAAAATAATTGAGTCATGTCGTTAATTCTATTGCCATTTTGGTTTCCTGTGGGCAGAGGTCTGTGACAATAACTTGGGCTTTTATTCCTGTTGTCAACACTGATCACTATAAAACCAGTTGATCAAAGTTGCCCTTTTGGACACTTCTGAAGGTATTCACAAATTCTGTTGGAAGGGACAGTCTCACTTGCTTATGCATGGATTGCTTTTTCTCTGTGGATTGTTGATAACCTATGGAAGATCATATAACAATAAACCAGACACTAAATACTTTATTAAATAGAATTTAAAGCGTGTATGTGTACAAATTTTTACAAATATATAAATCCCAATCTAAACTATAACTCTAATTATGATTGTTTATTTGGTAATTGCTTCATACTTCATATTTGCTGTGTCTGGAATCCTAATAAAGTTTGACCCTGTTTTTATCGATGGAACTGGTAATAAAGGGAAATTTCTACATCACAAAGTAACTCCACTTGATATATTATGAAAGATCTAGGATGTAGCAAGAGTCACTCTAAGGAACAGTAGGAATTTATAAGCAACAAGGTTTATTTTGTATGATTTATGGCTTTCAACCTGAAGCAGGTTACAGGTTGAATTGTGTCCCTACTAACATATTTGTTGAAATCCTAATCCCCAGTCATTCAGATATATGATTTTATTTGGAAAGAAGGTCTTCACAAACACAATGCAGCTAAATGAGGTAGAGTTCCAATCCAATATGACTGGGGTTATAGAAAGGGGAAATTTGGACACATAAATACAGAAGACAACATGGAGAGACATGGGGAGAATGCCATGTGAAAACAAGGGATTAGGAGTGATGCATCAGTCAAGTGAGGAATGCCACCTAAGACTGTGAGAAGCTGGAGAGAGGTCCAGAACAGACAACTGCCTGGTGCCTTCAGAGGAAGCACAGCCCTTCCAGCACTCTCATTTCAGACTTCCAGCTTCCAGAGTAGACACAATAAATTTCCATATTTTTACACCACCCAGTTTATACCACTTTGCTAAGGCAGCTCTAGGAAATTATTGTCATGGTTGGCTTTGACTTGACATGCCTGGGAAGAGGGAACCTCAATTGGGGAATTTTCTCTAATCAGACTGGCCTACGAGCATATCTGTGAGGCATTTTCTTGATTATTGGGTGATGTGGGAGAGCCCAGCCCCTAGCACACTGTGGGTGGTGCCATCCCTGGGCAGGTTGTATGAGAAAGCAGGCCAGAGGAGCAAGCCGCTAAGCAGCATTCCTCCTGGGTCTGTGCTTCATTCAGCTCCTGCGTCCAGGTTCCTGCTTGATCTCCTGCCCCGGCTTCCCTCCATGAAGGACTGTACTGTAAGCTGAAAGAAATCCTTTCTTTCCCATGTCGCTTTGGTCATCACAGCAAGAAAAACTGAACTAGAACACTAATAGAACACCTTTCCACAGCTATACATGTTCTTCTTTATGAGAGTCTTTTAAACTATCATTTTAGTTTTATCTTTACTGTTTTGTCATGAACCTTTGTGTTTTTGTAAAAGCTTAAAAATGATATCACTGCTGATATTTAAAGAGTATTCATTTAACGCTTGATCTATAATATACTTGAACAATGTCAGAAACTCCCTGAAGTTCAAGTCAATGGTTCTGATTTCCAGGCCTCACCAAAGTCAATGCAAAAATCTAAAGCAATGTCATGAGAGAGAAGTAAGAGAAACTAATAGAAAAGATACCAAAATGAAGAGTTGGGGGATTTAAATGAATTATTTAAATGTTTGTAAAATTATAAGGTTATTAGGAAACATAGTTCCATTTATTTTTGAAATGAGTGTGAATAATTTCCATTTCAAGAGAGTTCTCCAATATGGTAGGCTTAGTTTTTTGCTTGTTTTAGATCTAGTGTCGACTTATCTCATTAGGAAACAGATTTTTCAGCCGCCCTATGAGCTCCCTGGGATAATTAGAACCATAGCCTATATTCTTCATATCACTTTTACACAACTGTGACTTGTCATTCTCTTAGTTTCAGCTGTAAAAGAAACACCGAAGCAAACTTTTCTTGTAAAAACTGGGTATGAAACCAAATTTAGAAAAGAGACATAAGAATTCATGATCTGACAGCAAGTAGGTGGCATGTATTATAAAGTTTTATAAAAGTATTTACTTTTCTTGTTAAAAATTATACTTGGTACTGTCAGCAAACCGTTTAAGTACACATTCCTTTGAGATCTCCAATAAAGCAGTCTCTATCAGTTTGGTGAAGATTGTCTCGTGCACCTTTTCCATTCCTAAGTGCTTTAACTTAACCCTTTCTTTGGAAATAAGTTACTTGACATCCTTTGTCTCAAATCTGTCTGTTCTTTGGAATGACCACCCAAATGACTGATATGGTGGGTAGGTTCTGGGATGGCCCTATCTTCCTTGTCCTTGTGTCATACCCCCACCTTGAGCATGGGTGACACTTGTGACTTCTAATTCACAGAATATGGTACAGACATGATGCCATTTCCATGCTAATTTTACCTAAAACTGATCTCGTTCTAGCTGATTCTACGGACTCTTTTCCTTGCTAACGTGGATGAAAGTAGCAATGTTATAGATAGGCCCTTCCCCATAATACAGCAGATACTGATTTTGTTGGTGTATTAGTTACTTTTATGTTGCTGGGATAGAAACACCATAACCAAGGGAACTTATAAAGGAAGAGTTCTTCTACGTTAGACCACTCAACGTTCTTTGAAGAGGTTCATCTGTTTAGGTGATCTGTGATTACCTCCTTTTGAAAGTTTAACTTAAGATAGGTGACAATGAATTTTAGTTACATCTGCAATATCTTTCACTTATTCCTGGTAACCTGAGCAAGCGAGTGACATGCTATCATATTCACTGGTCCCAACCATACTCAGAAGAAAGGGATTACTGAAGGTATGTGGGACCAGCAGGAGGAAACTGGGGGGGGGGCAATTTAGAATCCTATATACCGCAAATAGCATGCTAGTACTATTTGTGAGTTTTACTTCCAGTTATCTCCTATAGTTTAGGTTCTGGTAAAGTATCACTTGCAACATAGTACTAGTACCATAGCTGCAATAGCCAAAGTTTTAAAATTCTATTTAACAAAGTTAGAATTCTACTAAATGTAACATCTGCACAGAAGACTTTTTTTAAGATTTCAAAATCACAACTACTCTAGATGAACACTTTTACAACTCTTGTGCATAAAAATACAAAGACACAGTTCTGCTTAGGTTAAAGGGGACAATGGTCACTGTGACTGAACAGCAGAATGTTTTATTTGAAGGGAGGATGGGCGAAAGGGGTTCAAGCCACCCTCTTATCCATTCAGTGCCTGTGAGCGAGGAAGACAAGCTTGTGTCAGAGCAGACTTAGCAGCTCTATGTTTCCTACTCCTGTGCCAGTGCTCAGCTCATGGGACAGCACTGGGTTGCCACTGTCAGCACTGGAGGCAGGTGAAATGAACAAGCCTGACTATGTTTTCGGATCCCTTAATGTGGCAATCAGTGGTGGGCGAAATATTCTAGATCATTCACATCTGCTTTATTTAATATAAAAGGTATTTTGCATCCTCTGATATTTTAAAATTAGATTTTGTGGCTCTTTCTTGATCGGTGAATAACTCCAAGTACCTCATTGTTTTTTTTTTACAGTAGAACCAACCAGATAGTTTATTAAAATAAGTTCATTATAATTTTGCATTTTTAAAATTGCAAATATTTCAAAAACTGTTACAGTGTTATAAGACTGTGAGCATTGTCTTAAGAGGCTATAAGGGCATATAGTTGTTTAACAAAACTATGAAATATCTAAATTCAAATTTTAAATACAAAAATATATTGTTTTATCCAACACTGAACAGTTAAAGCCAGAACACTTCAAGGAGAGTTGGAGATATATGTATTCTGATGGTTGTTCTAATATATCAGCATAAATAAATATAAAAAATGTTCATACTGTGTAAACCAAAACAAACATTAATATATCTTTAAAAGTGTTATTAGAAAGTTTCCTTCAGAAGTCATATCTTTTTTTCAAGGATAAAGAACAAATGTGTTTGATGACCATGAAAACATAAACATACATTTATAGTATTGTACAGTATTTTGACTTTCCCTCCACATTTGTTGGCGAAGTAGCTTGAAGATTTTGACCCATGTGGTTCTGGCTGGCATCTTTCTTATCACTTTGTAAGGCTATTTGATTGCCTATTGGCTTTATCTCTAGGAGTGGATCATTAGTAGTCTGCATCATTTTCTGACCTGCCAATGACGTCCGATTAAAGAAGGAAATCTAGTAAAAACACACAAACAAAAAGATTTCATTTCAGTACGTAGAACATTAACTTTGTATGCAGGGGTATCATTTTTTTATCAGGCATGGTCATAATTTCACCACATTAAATATGCACAATGCTATGTTCTTAGCATTCTAACAGTTTTCCTTTAATCAAAATGAAGTCAAGATTCTACCATAAAGTATGAATTTTCAAAACTATCAATACCTTAATAATATATCATCATGTTTCTTTAAAGGTAAAAATTAGTATTTCAGATGAAAACAAACTAATCTCTCTCTCTCTCTCACACACACACACACACATACACACACACACATACACACACACACACACACACACACACTCTTACACTTGGTCTTTTTGAGACAGGTTCTCCTTGTAGCCCCAGCTGGCCTGGACATCACTATATAGACTGATCTCACAGAGATCTGCCTGCCTCTGCCCCCTGAGTGAGTGCTGGGATTAAAGGCATGGGCCACCATGCTCAGCTAAGAAATCTTTTATTGCTAACATTTAAATGTTACAAGGCCAGGTTACTTGGGGGCATATCTGCCATTGCTAGTGTACCATAACTACAGAGAATTTGTCGTGATATTCTGGAAAAGAAGGACCTATCTCCCTATTCTTATTTAGAACTTCTGAAAAAAAAATGCTGCAAAATGAAGGCTGTGTGAAGCCTGTGATGTGAGTAGGCAGTGGGAGAGATGGAGATGCTGTTCAGTGGAGGCCAGGATTGGGATACGCAGAATACACAGAACAGACGAAAGTGACACAGGGATTACTGGCAGGCAGAAAAGAGACTATAAGAAAGGCAGAGGAACAAAGGATGAGAAGAAGCCAGAGTTAAGGAAGCCAGTGTTGGGGACTGAAACTTAAAGGGGCAAAATTGAGAAAATCAGCTCAGAAGTAAAGGAAGGAAGGCATATAAAGCCAACAGGGCCATGTGCAGGAAACAGCAAGTGAGATGATAAGGAAAAATTCATCTGGCTTAAGCCCTTTGAGGATTTATCCTGCGAGAAATTAGGATCCTTCAGAGTTGTAATAAAAATAATGCTTCTGATGAGCCCCCAAACCCAGGAGGAAAAAACAGGAAATGAAAACTACACAAGGACTTGGCTCTTTCACAAATCAGAATGATGCTAATAATAACAACTTACCTTTAGCCTTAAAATGGAGGGACTATAATAAAGAGTTATAAACTATGAAGCATTCTAGAAAATGTGTTTATGAATTAAAATGGAGGTACTCCTCTACTTGCTACTTGGGAGGGATATACACATTTAACAATTGTGCCACCACCACCACCACCGACTTTGAATAAGTACAGAAAGTCTAACTTTCTAATGTGCAGATAATTTCACAAAAATATTTAAAGAACATACCAATGGGCCACACAATGAGGAAGGAGCAAGCCTCAGGGATGATCCCTGAAATGGTATTTGTAAATTGTCTAACTTAGAACCTGAGTTTTAAGAAATTTGATTTCACAAAATATAGGGATTCAAACTGAGACTCCTACAGAATGTGGGGTTCCTCAAAGGCTATGTACTCTATGTAAGTCCACATATGTACATCAGGAGGTAACTAGACATGACTCTCTTGGCTTTTGAGTGAAGAAGAAAAAGGTTTTGCTGACGTAAATTTGAGGTTCATATAGTCAGTGTATGTGAGCAGCACTTTGAACAGAGACATTAACCTGAAGTGCTTCTTTAACCATTTCAGATCTAACAGAGAAGCCAACAATAAACATTCTATATTGATGGTCTCACACTTATCTAGGCCTTACAGGATTTATAAAGCAGTACTAATTGAATATGAACTCAATCTAGATTTCAAAGCACTCATAGAAACAAGTCACCAATATTAGCAAGTATGCCAAAGTAACACAGATATGACTGTGGAGGATGGCTAACATTAGAATTAAAGTGTAAAATAGAAAAAAAGTATGCTTAATTTATTTAAAGCAGAAAACATAACACTAATTTTTAAAGTAACAGAACAAACAAAATTGTTTTCAGACACAGTGAGGTAATTGCACATATGAACTCACAGTGGTTAGGACAGCACGCATAAATCCTGCTCAAGTTCAAGCCAGACAAGATCCCAGCATGATGGTGGTGAGGTGAGCAGGAAGCCCCAGCCCTAGTTGAGGAGCTATTGGCAACTGATAGCTGCTGGGAGAGGGAAAGTCAGTTTTTGTGAAGGGTGTGGCCCCTGGTAGCTTGATCCTGCTCTAGTAGAGGGCCTTACACCCAAGAGTACTTGCAGGCACAAATTGAACTTGATGAGTTTAAAAAGAAAAATTTAAATCACACAATTCGGTGGGTAGGGAAGTGGTTATTGATCTGGGAAATGTTGGGGGAATGGAGTGAATATGATCAAAATACAATGAAATTCTCAAAGAATAATAAAAATATTAAAAATAAAAAGCAACAAGAGAAAGGTTACTAGCAATGAAAATTTCCTTCAGTAAAGAATCTAAATAAAAATGAAGTATAACCAAGTAAATAATCATTTCACTATTTTCACAGAAGGAAGGCAAACAAATTATAACTATATATGAACTTAAGATAGTAAGTATAAATGAAAGAACACATTTTTCTTCTAAAGAATATTTTGTTAAATATAAAAAAGGACCAAAATATGACTTCACTTAATGTGCAAAAACATAATCATTGAAATTAAAACTCAACAAGAATAATAAAGAGAACAGTTTCAGCTAAAGAGGAAATACGAAATCAACAAAAATCTTGAAATTACCAAAGTATCAATGAAACAAAAAATGTTAAATTGATATTGAAAGACATGAAAAACAATAAAATGTTTCATGTCATATTCTGAAAAAGAGACACAACATTCAAATATATCACTGATGACAATTTAAAAATATACAAGTTACATGATTTCTCTGATTTGAATCATAATACAGTTTAACAAAGAAAATAAAAATTTTACATGTATTTATATTATAGTGAACTGGAACATTAAAGACAATCTAAAAACTCAGGAACAGATAAATGACAGGTTACATACACTTATCAGCAATTATGTTAAAAGAATATTTGTTTCTGCAGTGCTGGGGAGGGAACCCAGGGTCTCAAGCACACTAGGCAACTGTTCTACCACTGAGCTATACCTCTATTCTTCTACCACTAAAGTAATATTTTTAATAGCAACAATGAGAGCAGATGCTAAGAGACTAGATAGCTAGCTACACTATCTACCATTCAAGAACTATGACTAAATAAAAATGTATTCAAGTGAACGTAAATGGAAAGTGTGAACAGGCATCTATGGCAAGAATTTCCAAAGGATTTCTTCAGGAAGAGTAAGGATCCCAGAAAGGGCATCTGAGAAGTAAAAAGTAATGGTAAACAAAGCAAATGGTATAATAAAAACTAACAACAACATAGCTTGTGAAGTTACAAAAAAAAAAAAAACAACAGAACACTGGATAATTTGTAAAATGGGAGGGAAGGGATGATAAGACAGAAAACTATTTTAAAGTTCTGCTATTTAAAAAAATGTGTGTATTGGTTGGTTCCAGACATTAGGTGTGCATGTAAAGACATTCAGAGTCAAAATTCAGCTGAAAAGGCTATTTATAAGGAACCTTTCTAAAACAAGTAAAAATAGGGAAAAGAGATCTTTACTAGGCAAATGATAACAGAAGGAAGCTAATTTATAAAAATGTGAACCATCACCTGAAACCCTGTCAGATTCTGATATTATAAAACTAATAAGGGACCAAATTAAGTGAATTATCATATGAAAAGTAGAATGTTAATTCAACACTTTGTTCTTAACATCAAAGCACAAAATTCATTTTACTTACCTTTTTAGACTTTTTTATATCTTTAGTTGTTGGTTGACTAACTCCCAGAACTTCAGAAGAACTGCTCTTTTTACGATCAAACATGTGTCCTACAATTGGATACATCAAAATATTATTCTAACTAAAGAAAGAGGAAAGATTGGCAGCTTTCAGGGAAAGCCTATGAACTGTGAGTTGTGGGATGTTATGAAGGAAGCTCACCCCTGGAGAAGTACGCAATGTCCGTGCTGCACAGTTGCTAAAAAGTTGCATGAGCTATATGTATAAATGCCCAGAAAAACATGACCAACGTGAAAATGTGGGTGATCAGTATCCAAATACTTTCTATTATGGAAGTAAAAGGAAATCATAGAGAAGACTTTTGCGAAAATATAAACTTTTTCAAAGGTCTGTGTGTGTGTGTGTGTGTGTGCATGTGTAGCATATGCATGTGTATATACTCCTCTGTGTGTGTGTGTGTCTGTGTGTGTCAAGTAAAAGGAAATCATAGAGAAGACTTTTGCGAAAATATAAACTTTTTCAAAGGTATATGTGTGTGTGTGTGTGTGTGCATGTGTAGCATATGCATGTGTATATACTCCTCTGTGTGTGTGTCTGTGTGTGTGTGTGTGTGTGTGTGTGTGTGTGTAAGCCAGAGGTCAATGTGGGATGCCTTCCTCTACTCTTGTCCACCTTAGTTTTATGATCCTTTTTCTCACTGAACCTGGAGCTTACTGAATGGGCATGACTAGCTGGCCTATGTCTGCCTCTGCAGCACTAAAATGACAGGAGTCTGTCACTATATCTAGCTTTTTACGTGGTTACTGGGGATTCAAACTCGGGTCCTCATGCTGGCAAGGCCAGTGCTTTAATGACTGAGCCACTTCCCCCGCCCCTAAAATACTAATTTTATAAACTTTTTTTTGAGGGTTTCTGATAATGCTACATTCTGGACATAGAAAAGGTACAAAATGAATTTTTTTCCAGACTATTTCAAAGGATGGTGCCAGTCTATCATTGTCTGCAAAGCACCTTCACATACTGCTTAACTTTGTTTTAGTTTAATTCTTTTCACTCAAAGGAACATGCTGCTTTTGGTATTTCTAATTAACACATTATATAGTTGAATAATAATCTTTAAAAATACTTATGAAGCATTACATTATTTTGTTTGAAACAATCAATCATTTGAACCTTGTATTTCATTTCTTTGATACTACTAGCTATATTGTGAGAGTCCTTACAGTCAATAATACTTTAAAGCATTTTCTTAAATTTTTTTGAAACTTACTACTGTTTCTGTAGAAGTTAGGACTGAGGAAATTATTTCTTCCTCTGCTTAAGTTTAGATCAGCTAGTCAGTATACTTTGTTTACTTATATCTGAGTTACTAGGGCCTTGACCATGTTAGAAAGATTCTACCACTGAGCTACATACATCCTAAGCCCACAGCAGGCCTTTCTAATGAGGACACAATAAAAAGCACACCGTGAAGTGATGATGGAAAAACAGTACAAACACAGATGATTTACATCTAAAAAATTACAGTCTCCTGCATTGTCTGACACCTGTTGCTACACTAACAGGCTTAAGAAAAGACATTTCTTCTATGCCTGTGGTAAGATCAGAGACAAAGGTCCAGGCCCTGGGGAAATTGACTGCAGCCCCAGGACAGCACAGCCATCCTAACTTGGGAAAAGAAGTCCTTAGTGCTTGCTAGACATATAAACTGGGATTTAAAGCAAAAGCCCAACTTAATACTGGTTGAGTAGAATAAAAGAAGAGGTAGTTTCAGCCTGTCCTAAATCCTTGAACACTGACACATAAGCAACCAAGTAATGTAAGTAAAGTATTTATATGTAAAGAAGCTGTGAAGGTTTTTCTTTGTTTGTTTGTTGAGACAGGGTATCCCTGTAGCCCCAGCTGGCCTAGAGCTTGCTATGTAGACAAGGTTGGCCTCAATCTCACAGAGATCTGCCTGCCTCTGTCTCTGCCTCTGCAGCACCATGCCCAGACTGACGGTTTTAGGTGAGAATGGTAAGCCTTTGAAAGTGTCATATGAAAATAAAGACTGTAAGACTCTTTTAACAATGCCACTTTATGATTTACTTCTGACTTCTTCTCTTACATGTATATCACAGCTCATTCACATTTTCTGGAATGGAAGTTATTTCTCCACACGCTTCCTCAAATACCCAGGCTAAGGAAGACTTTGTCATTTGCAACTACTCTGTCTAGTACATGTGACCTCTTCAGCTACACTGGCAAGAGGAGAGACAACTGATTGATTGATTATGCACATACTTCTCCTCAGGGGTGACGCCATTATTTTTGTCTACATGGCATATCTAATTGATAAAATAATGCTTCTTAAACTTATTGAGGGGGTTAGAGAAATTGCTCAGAAGAGTTCATAGTGTTCTTCCATACTGAACCTGTATTCACAGGTGTGTACACACACACACACACACACACACACGTAATTAAAAATAAATACATAAAAATTTAAAAATGCCATCTTAAAGCCAAAATGTCCTCATACCTTTTGGATTTTCATTGTACTCACAAAGAGTCCGTTGCAGTAAATTGGTCTTTTTTTCCTATAAACAAAAAATAAAACATAAGACACACACAAAAATTCCCACCCACATTTGTGCTCTGCTGTACTTTAAAGTCAGGTTCTACAACCTACCTCTAGTTAATGGCATGGGTGTGCAATAATTACTTCACTTGGCTGGGCTCCTATAGAATGGGAAGCCTCAATGCTCACTGGTTGCTGATGTCCTCCTTAATGGTTTCTAAGTGACTTTGAGCCAGGCATGGTAGCACATACTTATAATCTCAGAATTTAGGAGGCAAAAGCAAATCTCTACAAGCTCAAGGTAAGTCTAGTCTACACAGCAAGTTTCAGGATGGCCAGAGATACACAGTGTGACCTTGTCTCAAAAACCAAAACAAAACAAAAAATACATTGTATGACTGCAAGAAAACTGTATGCTTCCATCATCTCTAGGATGATTGAGAAATGCTAAATGGTACATGACTTGTCTCAGTATTTTACAATATTAAATGGATGTTTAACACTTTCTATGCTAAAAAGTTTGACCAACCATCCTGACCTGAATTCATAAATTTCCATAAACAGAATCATTTTCCCCTTCTATAAGGAAACAGTAACTGCAAGAACATATCTTTTCCTCACTGAGAGTAAGAGTCTTAGAAAAAAAGAACCAAGGAAAATGGTCTCTACATGGCAACAACATCGTTTAACTTAAAATGATAGGCACTTGGTCAGGCATGGTGGGGCATAACTTTAGTAGCAGCACTTGGGAGGTGAAAGCAAGGGGATCAAGAGTTCAAGGCCATCATTAGCTACATAGTGGGGTTGAGTCCATCCTGAGCTGTAGAGACACTGTTTCAAAAAGAGAAGGGGGAAAAGTAGGAAGAGCAACACATGCTTTTAAAATACACATTCAAAGTGGTTGTCTAGGGAATAGATTTCAATAAAAAGAAGAGTTGTATACAGGGCAAGAATTAGTGTTTCATTAACTAGAAACCACGATAACTCCATGTTTTTCACAAGTGGTCTGGAAAGTCAAAAATGAACACAATGCCATTCTGTTTGGGTTTCAGTATTCCACACCTCTGAAATCAATCCAGAGTACTATTAGCAAACAAACGATTTCAAAACTATTATCTCCAAGTACATTCACACTAGGGTAAAAATGCCAAATAGAGATTGAGTTTATAGGATCTCAGGTTCCGTTAGGGGATGATATTTGCTTCCTCAATGATACCTCGTCTTGTGCCTACTTTGTTCTTGACTGCATTCATGAAGAACTGATTACAATCCCAAATACTGTTGTGACAACCTTTAATTTGTCCACATGCAATTAAGTGTGTGTATGTATGCACATACACCTCTCATTTCTGCCACCAGCACCCGGGTTCACAATTTTGCATTGTCAGCATTCAAAGACTTCCTGGTTCATTTCTCAACAGTATACTATCCTGATGCACACCAGTCGATTTCCATGAATACAGAGAACAAAATACTTCCAGGCAATGCAGACAGTGTGCAAGAGACAACGTTTGCCTGATTCACAGACTAGCCAAACCCTTTTGGGCACATAAATGAAGCTTCATAGATATAATTCTAATCCGCCTTTGGATTTCTCTTAGGGAGTATCTCAGGATGCAAACACTTATTTACCTCTTTAATGGCTTCAGCTGTGTAATCATCAATAGTTTCTGACCCTTGAGTTTCAGGAAGGTCATCCTTGGGAAAACTTTCATCAAAAGATTCCTTCATATATACTAGATGTGGGGCATTAATTTGCTCATCCCTGTCTCCTGGTTCTGTCTTTTCAGATTCTGAAGATTCCTGATCCTATGATAAAATTGATCATATGTAAGATTTTCTTTAAAAATACATATAAGTGATGGCTGTTGCAATTTATATGATGTCAAAGAACATATAGATTATTAAATCATACTTAGAAGGTACATAAATAAAATACAATTTATGTTAATTAAAGTTCTGCATCATCAAGGATTTTATGCACGTTGCTTTATTTATGGATGGTGTTGAATGTCAGTACCTAGCAACCCCCAAATTCTGTTAGTAACCCTATGGTAAGGCAATGGAAAAAATTAAATACATTTTCTTGGCTTTTTTCCAAAGAGTGTTCTTATGCCTAAGAAAAGTTAAAAAGCTTT